TGATGTGATAACGGATCTTGGCGATGTGGAAGAACTCTCTCCCTATAAAACGCTAATCTAACTAATATCCTCCTCCATCAGTGGATCTCTGAGGAAGGGAGCTGTACATTAATGCAATAGAGGCTTCTTAGTTTGCTCAGCTGCTTTAATGGATCACCGTGTGTCTCACTTTACATGCATTTCCGGAACTCCCGTATAACCCCCGGTAGATGTGCAAGCGCATTAGACTACCGTATATGACAGGAGCTGCCATGTTTTCCGGGTTTGTGTGGGCGTGTCTTACCCGCAGGCGAGGTACTGTCCGTTGGGTGAGGAGGCGATGGACGTCCCCTTCACACAGCCTTCATCTGTGAACCTGTTCACACACCGACTGCTGCGCATGTCCCACACATACACCTCCCCGTCCTCTGCGCGCGCGCGCACACACACACACACACACACACACACACACACACACACACACACACACACACACACACACGTAAGTCACATGACCGACAGGAAGTTGACGTGTGATGTCACAAACACTCACCTGAGTTGACGAACACTTTGCTGCCGTCGTGAGAGAAGGCGACGCCGATGATGTCCCCGTTTATCTTCATGCTGCGGACCACCTCCTTCGTCTGGATACATTAGTCTTTATAGTTTATATATATAAATAACTTAAAGAAGGTGTAAAAAGATCTACTACAAACAAACAGCAGAAGAAGAGGAGGAGGAGTCACCTTGAGTGTAAGGAGGTGCAGGTATCCGTTGGTTCCAGTGAGCAGCAGAGCGCCTCCTTCAGGACACACAGAGAACTCCTTCACTCGAGCTTCATTCAGACCTGAACACAAACGCATCGTTCCGTTAGGACCCAACAGACAGTACCTCGCCTGCAGTAAGACACGCCAACACAAACCCTGCTGCTCTCTGATTGGCTGACAACTGTTTGTTGTCGACTCACAGGTGTCCTCGTAGAGACGATAACAGACTCCAGGTGTCCTCCAGATACCTAGAGAGCTACTGTCAGCACGGTGACTGTGGCTAAGTGGATAGCAGGGCTGTCCTTCAATCAGAGGGTCGGTGGTTCGATCCCCGCTCCGCTAGTCGCTTGTCGATGTGTCCTTGAGGAAGACACTTAACCCCAGAATGTCTCCTGTAGCTGAGCCTACGGTGTGTGAATGTGATAGAATCTGAATTGTAAGTCGCTTTGGATAAAAGCGTCTACTAAATGACTGTAATGTAATGTAAACGCTACTGTTAGCACACTAAAGTTAGCACGCTAAAGTTCTAACGTTAGAGCTCGCTAACGTTAGCTATCACACAGTTCATGGAATATCTCCGTCCTGCTCACGACAAGACGCACTACAGACAGGATATCTGGCTGAGTGGTGCTCGGACAACAACCTGGTCCTGAACACCACCAAGACCAAAGAAGTCATAGTGGACTTCAGGAGATCCAGGAAGACCACACCCTCTCTGTTTGTTCCCCTGCCATAAAGCTGAGGAACAGCTTTTTCCCCATCATCCCCCCCCCCCCCCCCAGCTCACACCAGACAGTGCTGCAGTGAAACAAAAATAGGCAATAAAACGACACTTTAAAGCCATTGAGGCCTGTGTTTCATCTTGTATATATTTATTTCATGTCATGTCTTTATACACCGTTTACCTGTTGCTGCTGTACTGACTGATGAGTCACCAACTTAATTTGGTTGTATGTTTCTACAATGATAGACATCCTGACTCTCTGTTCTCCTCACCTCTGACGGTGTGCACAGGTGTGACCCGGCCCTCCATCATGTCGTACAGGTAGAACATCTTGTTCTTCAGGCTGGTGGCGATCACCGTGTCTCCGTCCCGGCTGAACTGGGCTCTGTGGACGGGGAACCGCTCCAGGTGGATGCTCTGGATCTTCGGGTTTGTCTTCCCGTCCACCTGGGGGACAAAATCAGAGTCAGTCTACGACTCTACGTCCTCACTGTGTGATGCTACAGAGAGATGACCGGTACGTACCTGGAAGAGAGACACCGATTGGTCGAGGCCGGCTGTCATGACGACCTGAGCGGAGGGATGGAACTGGACGGTGGTCAGTCTGTCCTCTGAGGGACGGGAGCTGTTAGCATGAAGACACTTCTTCATCTGAGACAAAACGGAGACAAATGATCAACGAGACGACAGGAGGACCACAAGACCACCACCACCACCACAAGACCACCACACGACCACCAACACCACAAGACCACCACCACTATATTTATAATCACATTGTTTTATATTTAAGGAGCTACTGACTCTCAGGACTCCGCTGGGCAGACGGTCTGAAGACGCCACGAAGTTCCCCGTCCTCCTCAGCAGCTCCTCATCATCTTCATCCTCCTCTTCATCAGCTGCAGGAACACACAAACATGTTTGATTTTTAACAATTCATGTTTTCTACGAATATTAAAAGACAAAGAAATGTTTCAAAACAACCTATTTTTGTCATAAAATGAGCTGTTTAGTGACCAGAAGAAGAAGAAGAGGAGGAGAGGAGAGGGAGGAGAGACGAGGAGAGAGAGGAGAGGAGAGAGAGGCGAGGAGAGAGAGGCGAGGAGAGAGAGGCGAGGCAGGAGAGGAGAGAGAGGAGAGGCAGGAGAGGAGAGAGAGGAGAGGCAGGAGAGGAGAGAGAGGAGAGAGAGGAGAGGCAGGAGAGGAGAGAGAGGAGAGGCGAGGCAGGAGAGGAGAGAGAGGAGAGGCAGGAGAGGAGAGAGAGGAGAGGCGAGGCAGGAGAGGAGAGAGAGGAGAGGCAGGAGAGGAGAGGCAGGAGAGAGAGGAGAGGCGAGGCAGGAGAGGAGAGAGAGGAGAGGCAGGAGAGGAGAGAGAGGAGAGGCAGGAGAGGAGAGAGAGGAGAGGAGAGAGAGGAGAGACATGAGAGAAGAGGTTTTTGGTTTTTAAAGTCCCTTTATTTCACTATTGCAGTGAAAAACAGAAACTCTAAATCATCACTTAATCATCAGAAAATCAATAAAATAAAAACAAATAACCAAAAAATAAAGCACCAAAGAACAAATAAACAATCAATTTCAATGATCAATATGTTCAGAAGTTCACCACCAGCACCCACTGAGCATAAAATGCTCCCAGTAGTCCATCTGTC